AAAAAAAAAAAAAAAAAAAAAAAAAAAAAAAAAACATGAGTTGCCTTAACTTGGATTTGAATTCAGGACATTTCTCTTCCTAAACGAGGTGTAACCCCTCGACCACGGGGAATTTATAAGATAACAGCCTGAAGAAAACCATATCATTCTAAATTAGGGTTTGTAACCCTTATTAATTTCGTTTGACACTGATGTAAATAATCATGGAGCTTAATATTACATGTATATCTGTAAAGTATTACACAATATTTGAAATCTTTGACCAATCTGGAACTACTTTTTCTTTTGAGAAGGCTTGAAAATTAATGCGCCCGTCATTTGACTATCTTAACACAGTGACCCCCCCCCCCTTATTTTTTCAGCGTTAGAGTACATATAAGGGTAAGTAACCGCTTCCAGGGGTTCGGACTACTTTCTTATTCTGCAAATAAGCATATCAGAGCCTGAAATTTCGCTACCATTATGTGTTTGGTCTCACGACCGAAACAAATAAAAATGTAGTCGCCATTGCTTAAATTTTTAATGTTTAAAGGCATAAAGCTTTAAGAATAACTTTTAATTCATGTAATTAGGTCATTTTAGTTTGGTTTCACGGCTCATAAACTGACATTATTATGTGGCGACTTTCGAGTTTTACAAGTGCCCCTTTGGGTATAAATAAAGGAACGAACGGGCACCTGAGTAAAACGACCGACTGGTAGTAAGAAAACTTTCTCACATAAAAAATCGAAACATCGAAGTCACTTGTGGTCTCGTACCTTCTTCATGTAGTATATAAAACAGAACGCAGCCTCCAAAATTCATAGCATTTGAATGACAAAATGGGTATTATTAAAATATCATTTTATTTTTAACACAAGCACGCAAGCACACATATCCATGAACTCAAGTGTTAAATGCATCTTGAAATGAAAGTGCAAGATAGACATAATGTTACCAAATTTCCTAACATGTATACCCTTACATGTATATGTAAGAGGGTTACCTTGTATAAACTACGTTACGTTATATAACAGGCCTTGTTCCCATATGGGTTCTTCAAATTATCAAATTATTAATTTTGATTGCACGTAAAACTGCGAAATATAATTGTCCATATGTAGATAATTTGATAATTTAGATACAGGCAGTTAGTTTGGGACCCTGGCAGATGATGTACCAAATATCATGTGACCGAAAAAAACTTTAAACTTTCCGTGATTTAAAAAATCCACTGACACCAAAACCAGCGTTTTTTCTCCAAATTCGATTATTTAAACAACAGTTTGCAAGGAACAATTATTTCCAACTTACTCCAACTAACTTCTTGTTTGTTTATACATTCATGCTACGTTTAGACAGTCATTTATATATTCGAACAAACAAATCAAATGAAATAATATTCGCACATAACAGATGTCCATGAATTTCACAATTCGTTTTATAATCCAAAAAATATACCTAATTGTTTCAAATGAAAATCAAAACAAAACAAAATTTTGAATGATACCCTCCCTAAAATTTTAACATTTTATAGCCAAATATTAATTGCTCAACATATAAAATCGAATTTTGCGCAACGTACTCTCAAAATGTTCTTTTATTTTTTGAATAATCCTGTTTACATCAAACTGTAGGCATAAGGATACTTTGCAGAACAGGTCCCAGGGTTCTCGTTTAAATTAATAACATGTATAACTATGAAAAAATCACTCACATTATAATTTAAATTAATTTTTTTATACATTTTATTTTAGAATTGTTTCAAAGACAGAAATTGTGTGTGTACCGTATCTTTTGAAATAACAGTGTGTTCCGTATCATTTCAACATCACTTTATGAAAATATGCTTAAACATCACTGCATTCACTCGATACATTGGACATAGTAAATATATCAGATTTAACATGTATTTTTCTATGAAATAGTGTCAAAAAACATATGACTTTTTAGAAATCGCCTGTTATGCCAAATGAGTATGTACCGTTCCCCTCGACCCAGGCAATGAAAAGAAAACTGTACTCGAATGTTCTCAAAAACCATTCAGGGGTTTTCAGAATTGTGATATACCGTGGATAACTGATACAATTACGGGTACTCTGCGCCTTATCTGATCAAAATCGGTTGAGTAATAAATAAGTTATGAATAAAAAACATACCTGAATCGGGTGAAAAATCGGCTTGTTCCGTACCCGAAAAGTCACGTGGTATGGTCACATTGTACAAGATAACAACTTGATGGTAGTGCTTTTGAAACAGCAACTGTATATATATGAAGGCTCTTCAGTTATAAAGGAGGATTACTTTTTGGAGGAGGTAACATTTTATTGAATTCCCATGTCTTACAAATGCTTCATCCTTACTAAAATAAAAAATCTTTTGGGCTTATGATGCTCCGCCTAGTGGTGCTCTTGTTTTGTATTTGGATTTTACAACAAATAAATATAGCTTTTTTTCCTTTTTATTTTTGATGATGTTTTTCTTTTTAACTTATTTATAATAGAAAATAATTACATTAATGCCTTTTACTGATGACAAAACCAAAATGATCTGCATATTCTGACCTTTATGATACTAACACATCTTTTCATGATTCAGGGGCTTTGTGAGTGTGTGCCTGCATGTGCGTGTTATATAGTAAAATTTAAAAAAAAACAACACTGGTCCAATTTCCACCAAGCTAATTGCCAGGACCATTCCTTGGGTGAAGGTCTTTTAAAGTTGTTCAAAAGAATAGATATTTTGCATAAGGCATTGTTTGGTGAATCCCTACCAAGATTTTGCAAATTCTAGCCCAGAGGTCAAATTTGGCATACCCTGTGAGCAATGTGTTTTCCTTATAATTATGAATAAATAAGTAAAAAAAGAAAAAAATCTGCATAATTACAATGGCTATAGATTAGTTATTTAGCATGAAATATTGTCTAGTGAAGACATTTTGTGTCAAATAATTGAAACTGTCAAATGCAATTCCTTTTCTTCAAATCATAGTTGAATAATGAAAGGGAAACAACTCATATTTTAATGTATTTCATACATGTATACATATTTATAATTTTTCGGGAAAAAAATCAATAGCTGGAAGTTAGTCTAAAGGTCATGGCCTGGTAATTTTCAGAGATATTGATGAAAGGATTTAAGACAACAACCTCTGGCAAGGGAGATGAGAGCTTTGCAAGAATATTTGTGAAATAATTTGAGCACATAGTCATGATAAGGACATTATGATTCTTTCCATGTATATAATGATGATTTCAAACTGTACGTGGCGACATGGCCGAGTGGTTAACGCGTCCGACTAGTAGTCTCTAGCCGCATGGGTTCAAACCCCGTCAGGGTCAAGTTGTTTTTTCCTTGAGCAAGAATCTTTACACTCATTGCTCAGTAGTGGTTGGTTCCAGGAACGGATTCGAAAGTGTGTTTTTCAGCTTATAGCTTCCTACACAGTCGAACTTAAATAAATTCTGTATAAACCAAATTTTAACTGTTTTCAGATTTAGGTAATGCTTAATTGCAAAGATAGTATTTAAAGCTTCACACCTCAAGATGAGCCAAAGTATTTCATAAAATTCAATCTGTAGAAAAATGTATTAAGATCTTAAGAAAAGTTAAAAGATTCAATATGCAATTAATTATTTACACGTTATGTGCGATTAATGACTGATTTTGCAATATCAATCACTATTAAACTACTGCGTTTGCGCAGTAAAAGGTATTTATGTATATTTTGACCTCTTTTCGGTTACGGTAGTTTACGTGGATTGAAAATGCCGTTTGTAATGTGTAAATTACTTTCTTTGTTTACTTCACTGTATTTTACTTTTAAATACTTTTTTTTCAAAATTGTCATGAAAATTAGCAAGAATGTTGAGGCATGCTTAAAGAGCGATAACTGTAATTGTATTTCAAAGTTTAATACAGCTATGTAATAAAGGAAATGCCTAATTGTTTGTCAAGTGAGAATTCTTTTATTTTTAATCAATTATTACACTATGGCCTTTTATCTAAAAAGTAAGCATATCTCATTTGAAATGCTGAAATATGACCTTGATTTCACTAGACAGTGCTGCATTATGGCAAAATTCAATTATACAGAAACAAAATACAAATATACTGTTCCTACTTTTTGGTGTTGAATTATTGCGGTGGCATAGCATTTTTGCTATGTCTTTACTTTGGAATTACTGGATGTTTGCTTCAGGATATCATTTTCAAAACAATCTGATAAGAACTGAATGCAAAATAATTGTTATAGCTGTAAGTTTGTAGTATTTTGTTTTGGATGAAAACCTTATTTGGATTATTATTATCTTTTTCTTATTTTCACATTTGCACTTTATTTATTTCAATACTTGTACTTTGATTATTACAACAGTTTTATTTTATATAAGCAATGCTGTCACTCAGTTTTTAAAAAAAATCACAAAAAAGCTTGCTTTCATCAATTCTCCAAAAAAATGTAAACTGTAAATGGATATATAATAAACAGCCTAGTTATTTTATCACGCAGTACTTTACTTATAATGATATCATGTATAGGAACAATGACACAATTAACCATAAAGCTCACCTTAGCAAAATCATGTGATATCTTTGTTCCTTTTGCATAAATGTGTACAGAAGAGTCTGTATCAAATAACCAGGAAAATATTAATATATTTAATGTCTTTGATGTAATGTAGTAATGTGTAGGTATGTCATCTAATGACTCAAAGGTCTGAATAGATTGTCAGAGGCACTATAAGAAAATTGATTGAATTATTTAAATATTACTTACAATGGTAGAGTTGTTCAAATATATTTATACCCCCACATAACATAGTTTTGGGGGCTTTATAGGAATCACTTTGTCTCGTTCCATTCTGTATTTTGCCATCCCACTATCTTAAGAACTACTAAAGGTATAGATTTGAAACTTTAAAAATGTGCCGTAGTGGCTATAGTTGTGTCACTTTAAATAATTAATTCTGATTAAGAACATGATAAAATGAAATGAATGACTGGTGTCTGTGTAATTTCAGGTACCACAACACCACCAACTTCAACTACCACATCACCACCACCACCAGCAGCTTCATCCACCACTCCCCCATCTACAACAACCAAATCACCAGATAAAAAAACAACTGTTATTATTATAGTTGCAAGTGTTGTTGGAGGGGTTGCTATTGTGGTTCTGAGTATCATAGCCTGTATAAAGTTAAGGAAAAACACTAATACGAAGAAGAAAGAAGGAATACGGGGCTGGCCCAAAAACTAAAGATAGAAAGGAGATGTCCTCATTTTGACAGCAAACTTAGCAACAAAACAACAGAGTATTATGGCAATAATGAAAGGGATTGTTATGGTTTTGAAAAAGTGATAAAAACAACACAAATATATTTCATTATATTACGATATTGAATTTATTGTTGCATGTGCAGACCTAGCATTTATCAAGATTTCGCACTGAAAGTCCAGATCCATGTATCGAACTTCAGAAATGTAATATTTTAGACTGAAAACTTCCAATATGGGGAAAATTGGTAACTCGTTTACAAACCTTTCTGTAAATAAGTCATGAAAAATTTACTTTTCCTACACTTATGTTTCCTTTGAGCATTTGAGAGATGATCATTGATCCGATGTTCTTTGAATTATATCTTTTCTTAAAGAAATAAAAATGGACCAAATTTTACCAAAGAAAAAAATTGTATTTGCTTGTAGTAGATTGTGTTAGCATATTATTTTCTGCTTTATGAAATGGTCAAAGATTAAGAGCAAAGAATATATTTTTCAAATGTTTCACCTGGTTATACATCTTGTTGATGTAAACCTGAAACACCAAATTTGTTTTGAAACAATGAAATATATATCAAAGGATAGCTTTGATATAAACATTTGTTTACGATGTTATTGTATGTTCATCAACTATTATAGACTTTTAATTATCATCTTAAATGGTTTTCTCTGTATAAGGTAATTGTATCTTAATCAAATTTAGATTATTAATTATTGTCTTAAATGGTTATCTTAATAATGTATTTGTCTATTACTAGAACACTTAATCAGTATAATAAATTCGTTGCAATATAGCAGAAATGCGTAATAACATTTGTTAATGTCATACTTATTTTAAAATGTGCCATTTGTGTTATAATTAATATATTGGTCGTAATTTTGTATTTGGATTTTGCACAAAAATATATAGTGCCTTTTTATTTTTTGATGAATGGATATTTTTTTTAATTTAATTTATTTATTATGTTGATTTATTATAACATTGACCTTCACACATAAATGACATTGACCTTGAATATTAAATGACTGAAATGTACTCTTCTGTGGTGTAACTGGCTATTACTTTGTTCTTAATAAACTGATTGACTTCATAATGATACCTTCATGTATATCAACCTACTGCTTATAAATGTTCTTTTCCATGAAGGTTTAATTAATATATATTATAATATGTTATTAAAAAGCAACCATAGGAAAAGACCTTCTAAAAGGTTAAACCGACATTGACCCTTTAATTGACTGTTAAAGTCTACTAATTAAACCTCTATAAACATTACATAGGGTCCAAATTGGCCCTGTCACAGGAGGTCATGAATGTTCTTCAATCATTCCCCTTGCTATAAAATAGTCCAGCACGAAAGGGTAAACTCGTATTTGAAATGCCTGTCATGCATGTGTTTCCGTAATGAAATGTTTCAAAAAAGGTTCGCATTGCTACCAGAATAAATCTTAGGACTGTTAAGTCTTATGGTGTTAAATAGAATATTTTTAATTGTATTCGACGGATATAATGCGGAAAAGCCATAACCCCTGGCCAATTTTGACATTTTCATAATGAAAGATAAACACAGGCAATTGTCTGATACTGCGAATTCACTTATATTCGTGGGCATGAAATTTCATAGTTTTATCGAAAACGGCATTTTCGTTGGTTCTTAAATTCGTGGATTTTCAATTTCTTGTAAAAAATAAAATAAATTACCTTATGTAAAGTTATCTTTGACTTAATCGCATCGCATTTTACTTACCGCATGTACATATCTTTAAGCATCACACAGCGCTTGTCAATAGATTTAATCAATGCCTCTGGTCATTCAGTACACAAAAATCGGCTGAAAAGCGCCGATGCATGTTTGTAATATATAGAATAGAGACATGACAAGAAGTATTTGTTGGGATAAAATTTCGTTGGATCTTAAATTCGTGGATTGACCTACCCACGAACACCACGAAAATTCATGCCCCACGAATAATAATGATTTTACAGTATCAAAATCTGGTAGTCAATCATGACTAAACAGTAAATGTAAAAGCTTAAATTTGGCATGTTTAAACTTGACTTTGACCGTTATTTGACCTTGACATTTAAGGTAAAAAAAGTGAATTTGCTTGAATTTGACTAAGAAAAAATTAGTAAAAATACTTTGATATGTAAATGATCCATACCTCAATGTTTTGAAACAGCACAATTTTATGCTTCATATAATACTTATCTAAGGCGTGGGCGTTGGTAACTCTGTTACAAATTCTTGTTTTTAATTGGTTGATCAAATAATCATTATCACTAAGACGTTTATTGTATCATATGATATTAAACATTAAGTGAAAATTGTTTGTTTGTTTAATTGGGTTTCACGTCACACCGACACAGTATAGGTCATATGGCGATGTTCCAGCTTTATTGTTGGAGGAAAACCTCAGATGCCCTTCCGTTCATTGTTTCAGGCACCTGAGTGAAACCACCGAACGTTCCTAAAGCAAGCTGCATAGCTCCCTCATTATTGAAAATAGGTATACTAAACGTTTATTCTAATGTAACGTAAACTAAGTTATATTGGCGCAATTTAAACAAATAACATAATCATTATAGTGAATAAACACTTAAATCATTTCAGTTAGCGATAATCTTTATTCAAAACTAGCATACAAGTATTATAAAAATGTCTAAATATAATAAGTGTTTAACAAAAGTCATGTACAACTGAAGATATTAATAAAGAGGTGGACAATGCTAAATACTTTACAACTTAATTACATTGCATATCTGGATCTGGAAAAGACACATTGAACTGATGCTCAACCGGTACCGCTCCATTATAAGTATGTGTTTTTATGTACAAAAGCATTATATACGTCCTCGTTTTGATCCCCCATTTTATACATTGTCCTCCTCAGCTTTAAAGTTAGTCAGAGAGAAATACAGCTTGCCGTGTACTCTGTCTTGTGGGCCTTTCCTTGGAGGATGCGTTCTTTGAATGCCGCCCTTCCTTCTTGATTATGTTTTTTTTATATTTGTTACATATATGAATTTGACCCGAGTGTTTCGTTTATAGATGATATCTGCCTCCATTCTATAATAAAGGTAAAACAAGTCTGTAGTGACCATGGAATTCTACTATATATTATACCAGTTATATAGATAAAGACAAAAGCTTGGTAATTATAAAAATGTTTCAAAACCAAACTCTCTACGGAACTTGCTATATAAAGTGCAAACATCTTATCTAAGATAACATGCCAATGGAAGGCCGTGTGAAAATATTCTACATGGCGAACACAAAAATGTTTATTCAAGAGTATAAGTTTTAATACGTCCGGGACTGGCGTTCAACATTGATAGATGCAGAGACTTTGGAAAAAAATTCTGAGGGAGGATTTTTAAATTAAATTTCAAAAGAATCATCTAAGGTAAATCAGCAGTTTCTGAACCTTTAATTTTCAAACTATAACGACATGATGTTAGAGGTTATCCGGATACATTTCAATAAGAAAATCCGCTCCTCCAAATAAAAAAATATAAAATATAGAATGAAGGTGATGATAATATTGTGTTTTTTTTTTAATGTTAGCAATTGATACTAAAAGAATGGTATGTAAAAACAACATTTCCTTACTTTTATTTCTTTTAACAAAGGGTTTGCTTCTGTTGATTATTTGTATGACTATTGAACGAAATTTATGTTTGTTAATAAGATATCTTTGATGGACTTCTCTTGTCTTAAAACTTTGTTTCAAATTTTGTTCGCTGTCCCTTTATAGTTCTTTTATGTTTTTATTGTATTTCTATCGAGTGGTAACGCGAAAATACGATGTCATTTATGGTAAACCGTATTTCTGTTATGGGTACGTCAATCTTGAAACGCAAAATAACTTCTCTTGACGGAAGGTCGTTGGTTCTATTCATGCCCGCTGAAATATTGAACTGAGGTCTTCCTCAACTCGTAAAGCTAGGGAGTCGTCATATGATCATTTAGATTGTATTGCGTCGTGAGAAACTCAGTTTTCTAAACAGTAACATTAATCCCAAAGCTTTGAGTGTCAAACACTGAAAACATATATTGATGCTATAAAGAATACAGGAGAAAAAACATTATTACAAAATTTATAGATGACACAACATTTAGAGATGAATTCGGAAGCTTGCTTATTATTTAATTAATGGATTTTGTTTATGACTTTCATTTATAACGAAAGCCCATACAGAAACTTAAATATGTCTTTAAGTTAGATAAGGCATGTTATCTTTCTAAGTATGTACATATTGAACTTAAAGACGTTATTATAGTGTTTAGTATACAATAGCTCGATGATTGCATTCTTATTATAGCCTGACATAAATGATAGATAGAAACATTTTAACAATTTGACACGTACTTGAAAAGCCTACAGATAATTGCGTTGTTTCTTTTAAAGTTATAGCTCGGTATAAATTTGATCTTAATATACCCAGAAGATGATACCTCACATACAATGGTTTTTAAATTCTCTCTCCCCCCCCCAAAAAAAAAACAACAAACAACAAAAACGATACTAGTCCTGTGTAAATAATGTCTTTGATTATAGTTATACATGTCATATTTTACAATTCCAGATCATTTCTTAGTGTTTTTCTTTTCAATTACTTGTATCTTTTTAACTTTCTGTTTGTCATAATAGAAAAAGAATGTCATAGCCAGTACAATATCTAAAAAAGATAACATGTTATCTATTTGAAGATATAGAACTAACATGGGAAGAAATGTATTAACTATAAGGAAGCTCAGTCGGTCAAGCAATGGAACGATATTCCGAAAGTCTCAACTTCGAAATTCCAGCCAGACTGCACATTGTCCCCAAACTGTTACGCTTATGTCATTTATCTATCTTTCGTAACATTGGGCATTAGCTTTTAGCAAAATCGAAGAATGGAAATTTATAATGTTAGTGGAAAAATAAAGATTTGGCAAAATATCCACATACATGTCTTTATAGGTCGTCGGTGTGTACACATACCATTTTCAGATAATTCCTTATCAAATAAATGTAATTGCTATTTTAGTAAAGTATTTCCATGATATATAGGCAGTGAAAGTATACTTTCACAATACAATTATTAATATTAGATTTCCTTACAACCGAATTTTATTTAAATGTGGATAATAAAAAATGAAAGGAAATTCCGCCAGAAATACACCTAGTCGAAAGTAACATGTACTAAATACACTAGGGAAAACGAAAGTAACATGTACATGGTTACGAAACGCACAAAATACCGACATACATCATTAAAAATCGTCAAAGTTTACATTCGATAAATAATCAATATAAACATTGTAACGTCAGTATTTGATGACGTCATAAATGACTTAAAGCCATTTCAATGCATGCAAATAACAGACAATTTGTTTCTTCGTGAATGGAATATAAAATTATGTTTCAAATTGTGAAGACCGGCTCCTACGCCTCTCCTGAAAATATTCCATCTGATGCTAATTCGATGAAATATACTTTGATCTTTTATGCTAAAAACCAAACAATCTATATTTATACGATGACGCCATTCAACACCTCTAAACATGAAGATATTTGAACATGTTTTTTATATTCCACCGTATAAGAATAAAACAAAACAACAACAACAAAAAAACAACAAATCAAGGCTTGAAAGAACATTCATTTAAACAAGAAAATGTGAGATATAGTTTATCCAGATGAACAACAGTTACGTTTGTATATGAAACATTTGTCCGATTTGAATGTATATGGAACAGTTGTTCAATTAGCTTGACCATTTTTAGAATAGTAAAAATATCATGGAGTGTCCGATAAAAAAAAGTTAAGAATGTCAAAGAATTCAGTTTGTTATCTAGGTATTGCATACTAAACATTTCTGATAAAGACAAAACTGAGCAGTAAACGATATGAATGCATTGGTGATACTCTCCACGAAATTTGCAAAGTAATGTCCATACATCTTATCCAGGCTTAAATTTCAATAAAAAGATGGTGTGAAAGTATTCCACATGACAGGCACAAGTATAATTGACGAGTTTCTGAACTCTTAATACACTAGGGAAATTCATATTTTATATTTTTGGTAACGCTACCTATCATTTATATGTGCACATAGCGTTCACAAATTCTTGTATATAAATATGATGTCAGCACTTTGCACGACCATTAAATCCAGAAATGATTTAATTTAGATTTCCCAAAAGCTTTTATATCTTTGGTATAATACTTTAAATTTTATATTTGGCAATAGTTATTAATTTGCCAATAGCGCCATCCGTCTCTTACTGTTGTTGCTTTTTGGCAATAAGTCCAGTTATAGTGATATTGTATTTAGCATGGAAGTAAAAATACTACTTTGTTGATATTTGACTGCTTCTATAACAAATTATTTCTCATTTAGCGTTTTTTTCTTAGCATGGTCTTAAAGCATTGTTTAACGTTTTAAAACTGATGTTTGTCATTTCAAAAGAAGTAACTATTTATTCGCGTGTTAGGTAAACCGTGCCATTAACAAAGAAAAAAACCCGCATAAATAGCCACATAGCCTGGTAAAATACATTCTTGTTACAATAACACTACATTTTCTTATTTCAATTGATTACACATTCAGAATTGGGCTTTATCATTACAATGACAATCTTTATGACGGTTGATTGGTTGTACATCCTTGTATATGCTAAAAAGCACCATATTCATCTCCTAGCAAGCTACAGTCTACAATATTTATTTCCAAACATTTATATTGTTTCTTTTATAAGATTTAACCAGCACTTTTGAAATATTCATAGCAAGCTATACAGATTGGAGTAACGTCTTCCGTTAAAAGTTGAGCATCTATAACTACATCTAAGAATAACATTTTGACCATGACGCTTAAGGAGAGATATATAGAGGATATTTGTTTGTTTGTGTGTAAGATGAAATTTTATTTCATCTCGTGGGCTTAAAAAACAGTATTCTCACTCGTGGCTACGCCACTCGTGAGAATACTGTTTTTAAAGTTCACGAGATGAAATAAAATTACATCTTACACAAAAAACAAACAAAATTTCTTTTTAT